GGTGATGTCCATAGTGTTTATATAAAGCTTTGGCTCGTGCGTTCCGTCTAGCTTGGTGGTGGGTCGGGTGCATATTCTTGGGGAGTGAGTGGACTGAGAGCGTGCGTTGGATGGCTCCGGGGATGGAGTGTGTAGGTCTAAGGCAATTGCTTGGGTTCAGGCGGAGCTTTTGGAGGATGCTGCGTCCTGTAGGTGTGGTTGAAAGGCGTTCTAGCTGTGCTGTTCTGTGTGCCTCTTTCAGCTCATCTAGTGTGTTGTGTATGCCCATCAAGAGCAGTCTCTTGTTGGATGTGTGCCTTGGGAGGGTGAGCGCAGTCTTGTAGGCTTGTCGTATTAAAGCGTTGACTTTCTCTTCTTCTGCTCGGGAGAGGTAGAGATAGGGTAACGAGTAAACTATGCGGCTGATTACGAATGCTTGTATGAGACGGTGGAGATCATGCTCGCGCATGCCTCTGTGGCGATTCGCAATCCTTCGGATGAGCCGCATAGTTTGATGCACCGTGGTGGTGAGTTTGTTAAGCGTGGCAGTATTCTTGCCATTACTTTGTATCAGGATTCCGAGAATTCGAACCTTCTCCGCTTCCGGTATAGGTGTGCCCTCCAGTGTGATTTGGATGTTGGGTGGGGGACCGAGGTCCGTGCGGCATCGGGGCGGTCTGAGGATGAGGAGCTCAGACTTTGTGGGTGAGCAGGCGAGCCCAACTTTAGCGGCGTAGTGCGCCACTGCGTTGGCCCCAGCCTGTAATGTTTCTTCTATGGTTCCGGCATTACCTGTGGTTGTCCACAGTGTAATGTCGTCTGCATAGAGGGAGTGCGAGAGGTTTGGAATGTTGGATAAAGCACGTGCCATTGGTATAAGTGTGATATTGAAAAGAAGTGGGGAGAGAACTGACCCTTGTGGGGTGCCTCGACTGCCAAGTGTGAAGGTGGGGGTAGAAAGGGAGCCGAAGCTCAGCTCCGCAGTACGATATTTGAGGAAAGCTGAGACGTAATTGAAAGTGCGTGAACCTACATCCAAAGCCGATAATGCATCTAGGATGGCGGAGTGTTCTACATTATCAAAGGCTTTGGTGAGGTCTAGGGCTAGTATAGCCCTGGTGCGCTTCCGATGTCGTGGATGCAAAGCATCCTCCGAAATCTGAAGCATTACATCTTGTGTGGACAAATGATTGCGAAAGCCAATCATCGTGTTAGGGAAAAGGTCGTTTTCGTCCATGTGGTTCTGGAAGCGTCTCAGGACCACATGTTCGAATAGCTTTCCAAGGCAGGATGTTAGAGAGATAGGTCTCAGATTCTTTATGTCGAGTGGTTTCCCTGGCTTTGGAATGAATGTGATGCGCGCATGCGTCCATTGTTCTGGGAGCGTGCCCACTTGCCAGCACTCGTTGAAGAGATTTGTGACCGCGAGGATTGAATGTTCGTCAAGGTTTCTGAGCATTTTATTGGTAATTCTGTCTGCCCCCGGGGCCGAGGTAGTGCGGAGTTTGTGCATAGCGGCTCGGACCTCCCATGGGGAGATGCCTTCATCCAAGAGGGGATTCGGACTGCCGGTGTACGGAGGGAGAGAGGTGGGTGGAGTGGTGGTTAGGTATTGTGTCTTGAGAGCGTCTAGCAGCTCGTTGTCTTGTAGAGGGAGTTTGTGTAGAATACGGTTTACGTTTTTGCGCTGCTGAGCTTTCGTATGTTCGGGGTCTAACAGGCTTCGAAGGAAATTCCAAGTGTCTTTTAGACCCAAACTGCCGCTCATGCGGTCACATAGCTGCCCCCAATGTTGGCGTGTCAGCTGGCTCGCGTGGGCTTCAATTTCTTTGACTAGTGCTGCTATGCGTTGTTTCAAGGTGCGGTTATGTTTGTTGGCTAGCCACCGTTTGTGCATGCTGGCGTGTGCTTCCCATAGATGTAAGAGGCGGCTGTCCGCCACATCTGCTTCTGGGGTGTCCGGGATCGTGGACGTGGCAAGTGCCACGTCTTGCGTCAGTGCTTGTGTCCAAGCATCGAGGTTGGTGATGGTTGCTGGGGCGCTGTTTCGGATCTGCCGAAACTTGTCCCAGTCCACTACCTCGAGTTTTCGCTTTTTGGCCGGGGCCAGGGAGGATAGGGAGATTTCTGTGGTGATAATGTAATGGTCGCTACCTAGGGATTGTGCTGTGTTTGTCCATGTGCATGTGCTGATGTTTTTGGAAAGGGTGAGATCAGGATTTGTGTTGCGTTGTACGCTGGTGCCAATCCGTGTAGGATAGTTGGTGTCGTTGAGGAGTGTGAGCCCCTCGTTTTGGATAAAGGTCCAAACCGAGGTGCCCTTTCTGCAATTCTTGCGATAGCCCCAGCTAGTGTGGTTCGCATTGAAGTCGCCCACCACAAGCAGGGGGCGGCCACTACTTATGATGAGGGCCTTTCGCATTGCAGCAATGATGGGGGCGGGAGGGTCCTTGGGTGGGCTATATATGTTAAGTATGAACAAGCTTTTGTCTTTCCTGTTGCGGGGGAGAAGTTCTATTAAGAGGCCGTCTGCGTCGGGCACATCTAGAGGGTGTTCTAGCGCTGTGTAATTCCGATGTACAAGGGTTGCAATTCGTGTTCGTTGCATCCTGGAGGGTTCATGTGCCGTATAGTTACAGAGTTTGGTAGCGCAAAGTGTTTCCTGCAACGCTATGACTGTCGGTAGCTCCGCGTTGGGGAGGGTTTGTAGGTGCAACTGCAGATTGCTTCGTTTAGCGCGGAAGCTCCTGCAGTTCCACTGCCACACTCTAATGCTGTGTGTGTGCTCAGCCATGTTGGGGTTGTAGCGGGGGATTGGAGGGAAGTGGGCCTTGGGGTGTGTGTGGGAGTGCTACGTTCAAGTGTGTTTGGAGAAAGGCGATGGCGGCTTCTTGCGTGCTCTGCCGTTCTCCTAGTGCGTCAAGGCGGGTGGAGATATTGCTCATCCAGGCTGTCGTATCCGTGCGGATGGCAGTTAGACCCTGCTCGATGCGTTCTATAGCTAGGGCCAGCACGGCCATTTGTTCTGCCATGTTGGTCGTTTCAGATTCAGAATTGCTCTGTGCTTTCCGCTTTGAGGGGGGGTTTCGAACAGGTGACGCTGCGCGTGAGGAGGAGATAGATGGAGTGGAGGGAGAGGGGAGGTTGGGTGGGGGAGGGCGTTGCTGCGCTGGTTGCGCTGGGGGGGTGAACGTTTGGGGTTGTTCTCGCCCGAGGAGTGCTTGCACTTGTTTTCTGAGGTCGGCAATTTCTAAACTTTGGAGGTGAATTTAGGCTCGGAGCTCTGCATTTTCTTTCTCGAGAGGTGAGGGTTTAGGTCTCCAGCTCACCTGTTTCTCGGCGGGCTGTGTCTTTGATTCCGGTAGTGGCGGGAAGGAGGATGATCTGCTGCGGTGCCTGGAGCCAGTTCGTGAGCGGGCCCCGGATCTGCATGATGATCGCTGTCTGCTCCTGGACGAACGCGGGGTGCCGCCAGGGTTGGTCGTCCCCGCGCCGAGGGCCGAGGCCGGGAGGATGGGCGTTGAGTTTGGAGTCGGCTTTGGGTTGCCGGCGCGCTCAAAGCGAACCTTGCATCGCTTGGATCCGGTGAAATGAGCACCGCCACACAGAATGCATAGCGGAGTACAGTCCGGTGTTGGTGATGCGGGGTGGGCCAGCCCGCAGCGGTGGCATAGTTGAGTGACCAAACGTCCCGCGACTCGCGGGACAGTCCCGCATTGAGGGCTCGTGTCCCGCGTCCCGCAAGAAATTCTCAAATCTTCAAAATGTCCCGCAATTCATACTGTCGTAAAATTCACTTAGCAACTCATGGCGCTGCCGAACAACGGGGCACGGGGAAGCGCGGAGGTCGCTGGTAATCGTGTAAATCGCAATGGTACACCATTTTCTATCCAAGCAAGCATTGTGGGAAGCAATTAACCGTCGTTCTTGCAGAACCGACGGGCTTGCTCCGTTGTGCCTCTCCCTTTGGTGGCAAGGGGAGAGGCACAACGGAGAAAAGTTTAAATGTAAGAAAAGTTGCCCTCCAAAAGTTTAAATATAAAGTATTGTAATTATTTTGAAATCACTGCGTCAATGCGAAAGGGGTGCTGTGTATTTTTCTTTTAGGGAAGGCAGCCATACAAGGCAAAAAGCCTACAACTCGCAACGGTCGGAAAGAATATAATGTTAAAATTGGTGTAGGACCATGTTGATAAAAGTGAGCGTTGACAGGAAAGAATAACCAGAAAAAGATTTACTGTTTCTTATTTCCATTTGATGCATTGAGTTCTGCTACAATCAATTTTTATATTTTCAACTTCAACACATTAATAACACATTTCGCATAAAAGATAGATCACTGGGAGTGAAAATTAATTTAGCTTAATTGCCGCCATACAATTAGCAAGTGTATTAACAGCACAGGATATTAAATGTGTTAACAGAGCCTGGGTTCGCGGTGCGTGTGTTAATAAATTTCCTCTACCCCCCCCCCCCCCCCCCCTGCCCCCCTTTGCGCGTCCCGGATTTCGCTAGCATGAAGGTGGTCACCCTAGGTTCACTATCAGCGAGATCGGCGCTTAGACTTTCGCCTTCGAGTCGCCTTACGGATAACATAAAAGACCCTGTGAATTTTGTGTTCACGTCGTTTCCTTCGTGATTGTTCTTCGGCGCTCTTCTCGACTAATGCTGCTATCTCGTTGGACGCGGAGGGATAATAGGGTTGATTGATTGATTAGTTGATTAATTGGTTTATATTTATTTTAATTCAGGAAGCTCTGGAGTCGCCGCACTATGCCTTTTTTATGATCACACATGAAAAAATAAAACAGTCTTCAGGCATGTTCGAAGCACACATGTCTATAAAGCGATTGTGCTTCGAGCACACTCGAGGCGTGTGTGCAGCTAATTCTTTCATTATGTCTGCAGCGGAACACCGTGTTTTTTTATATGACAAGCGAAGAGTACGACTGCGGCTGCGCCAAATCGCGTGCGGGTATGGCGCACGCCGTTGCACGCTGTCCTAAAAATACGCTTTTTTTTTAGAAAGCGCGGAGAGCTGGAGTTGAGTGAGAACATGCTTCGCCTTGGATCAGCGTACACGTACTCTCGACCGCATAGTCCTTCAGGCCTCTTCTCCCGAGGGCCAGGTGGGAGACGAGGCAAAGGGCTGCGCATCCAAAAGCGACGACGCCGAGGTAGCGGAAGGTGAGGCGACCCCCGTAGAAGGCGAAACAGGCACCTCCGACAACGTTGCCGATCGCCACACCTGAGAGGGAAAGTGTGTTAGCTTCACACGAACGAGGTTCACTGGTCCATTTGTCAACGCAACCCTGCGACGCGCAGCTCTACGTTTGCAGAAGTCTCCGATCGCGTACTGCACCGCAGTGCGCTCGGAACACCTACGCTTGGCCTTCCTTTCATCGGTCGAGCTGATGAGAAGGGCCACTGATGCGATCGCTGCGCCATTCCCGCCAAACTGCGCCAAAGGGCTTAAGCCTGGTTCAGACAGTTGCGTTTGACTGCGTTGCGGCAGCGAGAAACCAGGACATCCCTGCTACTTATATCGCGTGCTAAGATGATTCTTTGAATTGGATTGCAGGCTTCACACGAAGCACAGATGTGCCGGTGACTCGCTTTCGGTTCTCGACGCAACGCAGTCAAACGCACTCAAACGCAAGTGTCTGAACCGGCCTTTACTCTGCTGCATCCTGCTACATTTAGCCGAAATGTGAAAAACCTGCGCCAACAGGGCGCCAAAGCTTGGATTCACTTCGTTAATACTGAAAACATTATAGCTGAAGCGCCGCTACACGTCCGGATCGTTATGGTAGGCTCGAGCGAATTTTCCGAACTTTCGATTACTGCCACAAATAACGTCCTATTCAATGCGATCTCTCTGTCAAACACTGACTGTGCTCGGAATTTACGCAATATCGAGTCACGTTCGCAGTCTGCCCTGGCGGGTAAGTTAGCTCTGTTGAGTGCGCTTGTCACCGCGCTCTTGTGTACTGCAGCGAAACAACCGCGAAGTAAGCATTCGCGATTTTTCTAATCGTGCTTCACCGCACGGCCCCTGCGTGCTAAGACGGCAGCACTCCCCCAAAGCGGGACACGTCTTGTGTCCCGCTTTGGGGAGAGGGGAGAACTGTGTGAGTGCTAATGTAACAATTCTACTTTGCACTAAACATTATGAATAAAACTGCTGCTCTTATCTATAATAGACTGCGATATTCTGGCGGTATTTTTTTTTCAGGTTTGTTAGCTATTGAGGGTACTTGCAAGGAGTAGTGAAAGGAAGCTTGGGACTAACCTTAACCGGTGAGGCAGGATTATATATTTGTTATCATAAAGTATTAAGTATAAAACGTCATTTATATTCATAATCCGATGAAAAGAAAATTTTTTTATTCTGAATTAAGAATTTAAGTTTTATTACAAACTTTAGAGCTTGAATGAAACATCAATTCATGTGCTCATGATTACTCTCTTCTAACATTAGTTTAGATAAATATGCACTTTGGTTTACATTCTATTTCATAGCTACAATAAGTTTACACAGCTGTCCATAGTTTTTTTCATGAAATGGCATCTTGTTGCCATGCCTAGTGCTTGTATTTACAACCAAAGAGCTATTATGTGTTCTAGGGAATCACACATGCAAAAGCTCCCCGGACGCTTTTTTTTTTTTTTTTGACAGTGAGGTTGTTTGATTATTTGGTGAGATTCTGCTTTCCCTTCTGGTTAAGCTGACTCAACAGAACAGAACACCACCTAAAATAAACAAAGCCTGTGAAGGTAATTTGGAACGCCCGCACAGGACGCCGGCAAAACTGGAATTGGTGCCTAGCCTCACACCGAGCGTCCTTCGACGTACTGATTGAACATGAACGATGACACAGCGCTCGTGTGCAATATGTATCGGCACTCAATCTCACCGTAATAACGTCAACATTACAGCTTGTGGACTTTCACAATTCTAGGTTGCCTTGCTCAAAAGCCCAAAGGCCCGCTTCAGATGGGGCAATTTCTCCCAGTAACTTGACGTTGAAGTACCAGCAACACGGACCGCCCGCATTCAGACGCAGCAACCGATTGGCTTCGATTCGCCACCCTTATCATTAAGTTTTATTTTTCTTCCACTGATTGTTCACACAGTTACGCGCTATAGACGTGTTTTATATCTTTAAATGGCGTTGCGAATTCTAACTCATCTTTTCGGAACGGTTTATTCACCAAGACGATAAATTTCAATTCAGAACCAAGTATTAAGTTGTCATCATCGCCGCCACAGGTGTGTCGCGTAAATATATCGCATCCCTGATTGCCTGCCGTCCCTTCAAACGCCTCCGAGTTGTCAGAGTTGCTCGTCATAGAGCCACTAAATGAGCTACACTCAGAGTATCGGCAGTTTGTTCTCGATCTTCTTCGCGCTTAGTGCAGAACAGGAGCAACTGTCGATCGTCACAATTAAAAAATGTGACTTCCTCAGCTTTAGGTGCGGTGTTAAGAAGCTCAGGAATATCGTCATGATCTGTCGCGAGCAGTTTTAACATGTCTGGAAAACGGAAAAATGTTTCTGCAAGTCCAAAAAAAAAAAAATCTTCAAATAACTGGCCACCATGATTTTAAGCGCCAACATGGCTAGAGTGTCGTTACTCTAAAAGCGTAGCTTACTTAATGGCTCTAGCTCGTCTGTTTCGAGCCGGACGCTATCTGAGAAATTAGTGTCGCAGCGCCAGGATCTAGGAAAGCTAGGGAACAACTCGCCAACAACACCGACATTTCTGGGAAAGTTGCCTCGTTTGAAGCGCGCCTAATGATCGGTGTTCGGGTGTTTGATGGTGTAGAAGACATTCAGAGACTTCTGGGAGTAAACACCCTTTCAGGAGTCTGATACGCAATGAGTGCATTGAGTTTCGTCATGCGCGGCAAACACCCAGCATGAACTTTCTCTGAACATTTTTTCTCAGTGCGAGAAGGGCGGGTAGGAGGGTGGATCCTTGTTCCACCGGCCATGTACCGTATTTTCCGGGCTATAGTCCGCGGACTATACATGTTTAAAAGTTGAAATTTCTGGCTGTGCGGACTATCTACGCGTGTGAACTATACAGGAATTATGTTTTACAAGATCGTTTATTATGACGAGACGTGACGAATTTTGTGCACGAAAGTGTATGTTAATGATGATTTATGCACATTATAGGCTTTATTGTGAGCTAAAAAGCAGACATTTGTAAACGTGTGCCGTCTCTGAGAAGATTTTCGTGTCGACTAAGCACCAGGTGCGGACTATCTAAGCAAATTTTTTTTTATTTTTGACCCCAAATTTCCCCCTGCGGACTATAGTCCGGAAAATACGGTAGGTCATTGGAGCGCGATACTCCTTAACGCCCTCCAACTCAATAGAGCAAACAGAATTTAGGTCGTTGTCTTAGTCGCGGTAGCGCGCACATTGCACCTAACAAACTCTCTCACCAGCAATTTAAAAAGCAAAACAACAACAGAGGATTGGTTTATTTGAGAAGGCAGTTTATGAAAGAACACCTACCGGTCATTAAGTTGTCGCTAAGCGCAGGACAAAGCGATGGTCTCTCGACCTCGGTTTTGAAACTGGAAAGTATTGCGTGAACGCACTGGTTGCCTACAAGCCAGGACGTGGGACGTAGGTGTCATAGCGAGGAAAAACTGCTATAAAATGCTGTTAAAAGTGGAGAGCGAATCAGGGTTTGATTCTTTTCTGGTAGGAATTTGGGTGGAAAGGAATCTGTAAGAAATATTTTCTCATTCGCCAATGTAAGGGGCTCGGTTTGAATTTTATTTTTTGCGTATGCGTGACACATATAGCCCAGCGGACTTCGACAGGACTGGAGTTACGTTACCATGGATGAGATGGACAGAAAAAGATAAGGTGCGGCCTTCAAAAGTTCTAGCTTGATCACATTCGCAGGATATTTTTAATGTGTTGATAAAACGGAGAAAACTATCAGCATGCAAACTTTGCCTTCTAAAAACAAATGTTAGGTCGCCGGGATAAAGTTTGAATTTAAATATGAGGAAGCTCATTAGCGTGACTTTGAGGGTATAAACTTACAAGGTATTAGCGATTTGAATATTTTATATGGGGTTACCTATACCGACTTGTTCTCACGTAATACAATCTCTTCTAGTAATGAAAGTTTATGAAACCTTTATCGCTACTATCTGAGTTCAGAAGAAAGTATTCTAAAAGTAATTAGTTACCTATCTTGAATACTTTGTACTCAACTAAGATATTTTGAAATTGATTATTTATTATTTTGTTTAAATACCATCTTACCTGGTACCAGGGATAAGCAGTATTTCAAATACAAGTATTTGAAATACGCATTTCAAATACTTTGTGTATTTTGCATTTTTATTTAATTACACATTGGGTAATGTATTTGACGTGTGTATTTATATACTAAAACGTAGGTATTTCAAATACAATTGTAATTAAATACAATTTTGTGTGCGAAAATACATCCCCAAATTTATTGTCACGACTCATTTTGCTCATCCTAAGACGTGTCCAGAGCAGGTAGTAAACTACGTTCTGCACCGAATGCAGTGTCTCTCAATCAAGCACAAGCGTTTAGTGACTTTGTGATTACGGTGCTAGTTCAGGGCAAGAATAGTGACGAAATCGACGTTCACAGGCAGACTGGCTAAATAAGTGCCTGTGACAACTTGTGATGCTTTCCAGCCTGATTTCCGTCCATATTTTTGCCTGGAACATTCTAAATACGCGGGTCGTCCAGATTTTCGTAACTGGTGCGAGTTGCAACAATAAAAAATTCTCTAGCTAGTGCTGCGCGTCTTGGTCTTCTCGGATCTTTGTTGGTCTATCTCTATACCAAAATGTAATCGACAAAAAAAGATGCTTAAAGCTCTGTACCTTTTTAACCTATAACGTCCAAGCTGATTACATTTTTTTGTAATTATATATTTCTATTACGTTACTAGAGCCTCGCACACTAACTCCCGAATGTGCAATGCAAAATTAAAATGAGATACCCAGAAACCCGTTGCAGGTGCCCTGAAGTCGCTGACGCAGATTTTGAGGAATGTATTTGGAAAAGTATTTGGAGGAGATCAAATGCATTTGGTTGTATTTGTATCTTGTACTTAAATGCTTTTTTGGAAATGTAATTACATTTCTAATTAAATACATTTTTGACAAAGTATTTTGTATTTGTATTTCGATACATATTTGCATGTATTTTGCCCATCCCTGCCTGGTACAATCTAACTTGAATGCATACTTCTTTATATTTTCTGCAGGTCTAATGTACACAAAACATATGTCACTGCGGCCAAAGCTATGAACGCCCATGCGACCGTGCACTCATCTCACTCAACACAACGTTCTCACCAAGCAGAGCTACCGTAATGCTTCTGGTTCATTAGCCTTGCGGAGCAGCGTCGCGTACCCAGAGAGTTTTGCAGTGTCATTCCCAAAGATACTGACATTTTACCTGTAGTTTAATCCAGAGCCTTATATGTAGAGCGCTTGGCCATTTATTGGGAAGTATAGGAAACAAATGAGGAGGCGCCATTTGCCAGAAGTGGGTTGGGCGTGTTCCAGGGCGTCTTCACAAATTCGAATGTGGCCAACCAGAAGCCGGAAATAATACCCTGGCGGTGGTCGTGAGAAACAAACTTGATAAGTGCGTCGGAGTAACTTTCCGAGACTAAAAATATGGTATATGTGATGTTTCAATCATGGCCATCCAGAATCATGGTGAAAGAGTGTGACTAGTGAAACGATCCACATAATCCGTACGCCAAGCACCGAGGGCCGGGAATCTGCCGTCCGAGCGGTCACACTCTGTCCGAGCAAAACAGTGTTGAGCGGCGCATTCGTTTCTTACATCTTTCTGCATGATCATGAACGAAACATCACGTGCACCCTATTGTCCACCATAAAGAGTTACTACATTTAACTCTTACGCGCTTATTAGAATCATTTACCAACATATACCTTTGACCAAAACAGTTTCTCGCTACTACCGCTAGGGGATTCTTTTAGGCTTCTGGTTGGCCAAGGGAGCATGTCAAGCCTCGTTTCTGCGTCTGGTGCACGTCCTGGCTCTGCCCGCGCTTCCCATTGACCAAACTCTGTATACACGGCTCTAGTTTAGTCACAACACCGAAATGATATGCGGACTGTGAAATTGAACACGATACTCACCGATTCCATCAAATGTGCAGTTAAGAATGCAGAGCACGGACGCTGCAGTCCCACCTGGTGCAGTCACTTTCGCGAAAACCGTCATGGAGGCAATAGTCAACGGAAAAGCAGCGCCACCAACGATTTCGATTAGCAAGGAAAACCATGGTTCGTAAAGATACGAGTAACCAACGTACTTTGTTGCGAGTGCCACGAACGCCAAGCAGTAGCACGGGAAGTAACCGATTTGCTCCAGGATGAAACCGGACACAAAGAGAAGCGGTAGTTCGATCAGAACGGCCATGAGTGCACCGTTAAGCCCCACGATCATTTTAGATGCCCCAATGTCTTCCAAAAACCAGGTGTTGTACGATAAGGTGATTCCCAGCAAGGCCCCGAGGAGGCAGGTCCAGAGAGCAAAAACCGTCATCTCGAGACGGCTTAAGACCGTCGCTATGTCCTTGAAAAAATTGGATGACACCTTGGACATCCTTAGCGGAGGAATGAAAAAGAGCAGAATAATGTCGGTCATCAACAGAGCACCGAACACGTAGAAGCAAGGCGAGTAACCGGAGCGACCGTCCGTCGCTTCGTTTAGTTCGTCGATGAAGACACCAACGACGGGACTGCAGACACCGAAGCCGATGGTACCCCAGAGTCGCTGTTGCCCGAAGGTGTACGAGTTTTCGCCTAATATTTCGCAGATGGCAGCGTCTGAGATTACGAGTGCAGTCATGGCCACCGCCGCTAGCGACAGGAAGACGGCATATAGCCCCCGGTTGGGCGAAGCATCTGAGCCTGTGTGGCAGGGGCAGTTCACCTCGCAGATGTCCTCATCGCGGCTCGTCGTTCCATTCCAAAGAGAATTGCAAACACTATATGCATCTGTAAGAGTGAGCAGAGGCTCAGTCTTGATCGACGCTGCAATTGATTTGTACTGTCGACAAGACACATTGCACTCCAAGAGCGATGCCATGCAGTTAAAAGACTCCGTCTCAAGCGTCAAATTTCCTTCAGGGCAAGTGAGGCGTCCCTTCACGTTTGGGCCCTCAAATGGGGTGCCGTGGTTCAAGAAAATGACTCCGTTGGATACGAACCCAAGGGCGTTCAAGCCTATTAAGACTAACTTGACGTTCTGTGTCTTGTCCACGACGAAGCCACAGACAGGTTTCGCAAGAATGGCGAGAAGAGGAATGAAGCCCAGAATGTAGGCTATGGTCGCTTCGGGAATGCCACCTCGACGACCAACCGCCGCTTGATACGGCATGACCGAGGCCATCGCTGTATAAAGGAATACACAAACATAATTTTTGATATGTCAGTTACATTAGCCCCCTATACATTTCGTATCCAAAGTAAATTTGAGCTACAATAACTTGAAAAATACAATTGAGTGTGCAGGTTGCTGAGGTTCTTACTTCTACAAGTACTCCAGGAATCGGCTCGTCCTTCTATACATAACAGTTCCCCCAATCGCCCTCCTGGACACTATTTCTCTTACATCTTACTTTGTTTTATGTATTTTTAGGTTATATTCCCGATGCGTTGTTTGGTTACTGGGATGGACAGTATTTGAAATACGTATTTCAAATACTTTGTGTATTTTGTAATTGTATTTAATTACAAATTGGGTAATGTATTTGACGTGTGTATTTAAATACTAAAACGTGGGTATTTCAAATACAATTGTAATTAAATACAATTTTGTGAACGAAAGTACATCCCTCAAATTTATTGTCACGACAATTCTTTTTTTTTTTATTTTTTGCATGTGGTTGTAAGATATAGTCTCCATCCTTTATTCGGCCATGAGGCTTTTTTTTCTTTTTCTCCTCCGGCTTTATTTTAAAGGCACTGTCCAGAGCAGGAAGAAAACTACGTTCTGCACCGAATGCAGTGTCTCTCAATCAAGCACAAGCGTTTAGTGGCTTTGTGATTACGGTGCTAGTCAAGGGCAAGAATAGTGACGAAATCGACGTTCACAGGCAGACTGGCTAAATGAGTGCCCGTGACAACTTGTGATGCTTTCCAGCCTGATTTCCATCCATATTTTTGCCTGGAACATTCTAAATGCGCTGGTCGTCCAGATTTTCGTAACTGGTGCGAGTTGCAACCATAAAAAATTCTTTAGCTAGCGCTGCGCGTCTTGGTCGACTCGGTTCTTTGTTGGTCTATACCAAAATGTAATCGACAAAAAAAGCTGCTTGAAGCTCTGTACTTTTTTCAACTATTACGTCCAAGCTGATTACATTTTTTTTTGTGATTATATTTCTATCACGTTGCTAGAGCCTCGCACACTAACTCCCGAGTGTGCGATGCAAAATTAAAATGAGATACCCAGAAACCCGTTGCAGGTGCTTTGAAGTCGCTGGTGCACATTTTGAGGAATGTATTTGGAAAAATATTTGGAGGAGACCAAATACATTTGGATGTATTTGTATCTTGTACTTAAATGCTTTTCTGGAAATGTAATTAGATTTGTAATTAAATACATTTTTGACGAAGTATTTTGTATTTGTATTTTGATACATATTTGCATGTATTTTGCCCATCCCTGTTTGGTTAGAACTGGGAGTAATGTAGAAAGAAAGCAGTATGACTGCTATAATTTGTAAATCATGTATTAAAAAAATGCTTCAACGAGCAGCAGTTTATTGAACTAATGAGCCACAAATAAGCTATGCTTTGGAGGAACCTCAGCCGTGCTAGTGCTTAAAACCATCGTTGCCAGTTATGACGCTTTATTTGACTCGCAGAAAGCGGCTTGCCGTCCTCCGGAAATTTTCAGACAACACGCGAACGAGCGAAACGACGTTACCTGAGCTTCCTGAGACATTATCTAAAGCACAAGAAGTTGCATCTTCAAATCGTAACAAATCGCCAATTGCGCCCGGTTTGCATTAAGCTCCAAAATGGCGGCGCCCGCAGGAAATTCAAGGAAAGGACTGCCGATAATTTAAGCATATCTGATTCAGTGGCTCTACATAGCTATATATCTCCAAAACCACAACATGACTCCTTGTTGTGCGCTCCGTTATGGTACTCACCGGCAAGGTAGATGAAGTAATGAGCCTTCAATGGCAGCAGTGTCATGTTTACTTCGGTTTTACAGAACGCCATTCTTTTCACGACCGATAGAAGGCAGTTGCAGGATGAAAAGCGGATTTATAATCTGCGAAATACAGATACTCAAGAGAAGGGGCCCTTTCCTGCATCGTGGCAATATACTGCACATGGGCGCACTTGTGTGGCAACGCTCACAGATGTGCTCGGGCTATCACCGTTAAACGTTTGAGGTAAGTGAACAATTAACAAAAAGTATAATTTGTCTCTTTCCTGCAACGCCCAGGTGTTAATTGTCACGTGACTCTAGGCCCTCAGGTCAATAAACTGCCACGAGGAGGAGGAAGATGGGATGTCGTAGGCGTGCCGTGGGCAGCGTCAGCGGTGACGAGCCTGCGGTGGCCAGTTGGAATTAAACCCGGCCATAGAGCAGACGTCTCGCCTCTGACTCACAATCAGCGTAACAATATAATATTTGCACTATGTAGCGTATGCTGGACATCTCAAGGATCGTAAAATCTTCTTGACTGGCAAGCGTTTGCATATGCGCAAAGCTAGCATTACGTCATTCGACACACTAGGAAATATACTTTATCGAAATGGTGAAAACCTAGGCAAGATAGTCGACTAGTCTAACATCTTAATAAACCGGAGACCAGGAAAAAATTTACAGTGACACAGAGCGTTCCGAAAAAGCTATCCTTCTCATTTAGAGTCACTTTTATACGTACGCAATCGCTCTTCAAGGGTTACAAACACCCTCTTCCAGAAAACGTAGCAAACTAATTAGACCCATGAACGTACTGAGTGATTCCAAACTAAATCCACAACCTTACAAGCATTAAAAAGAGGTCCTGAGCCCTTACTGAGCGTGTCCCGTGAACAAGGGACCAAACTGCTTCTGAAACGTCAGGCATCTGATCCTTAAATTTTTTATTAGAGCTCGTAACTTTCCTCTATGTCGCTTCTGAGCAAGGCAGAGACCTGCTTTACCTTCTCCTTCAAGCCATTATTCATACCCAATAATTCACCTCCCCCCCCCCCCCCCCTAATTTATTCAAAGATAGAGAAGGTTGCTTGATACAGTTCCCAGAGTTATACAACGCCCGTTGCTTCATACAAAAGTTTCTCACTACACTCTTTTCGTTCCCACTGCGGTTCACAATCATTGTATACTGTTCAACGCGCTTAACAATCTCAGAATTTTGTGCCTTGCTTTTCAGATAAAGATAATGTATTAATCCAGAGAGAAAGGTCCCATGCACTGGGGCCGCTCGGGAACGACAGGGCATAAACGTGGACATCCGGACGTCGGCAGTCCCAGTTTGCGGTCCCGATGGGACCTAATTGCTGGTGACGCCTTAATATGCACAAAGAAGCATCAAGTCATCAGCTGTAAGGTCTGTACTTTGTTCTTTTCTAGCTTACTTGGCAGAAAGCGAAAGGAATTGCGCATTTTATAAAGCTAACTGAAGTTGACAAGCGCTCGAGCAACTTCAATTCGTTGCGGCAAAACGATCACGCCTAACCTTTCTTCTGCTTTCTTTCTCCGCTCTTCTGTGGCCCTCTTTATCGTTCTTCCTGTCAAGACCGCCGATGTCAGCGTCTAGGATTTGCCGGGTTCTGCTTCCGTCTTTACCCCCCGGTTTTTTAGTGCCCTTTTATGGAACACGGTGTAAGATTGACACACGTAAGCACCGATATTCGCGTCGAGATTCCATCGGCACGGCTCATGTGGTGAAAATCAGAAGAACACTTTGTTTTACACTTATTTGGAGCAAAACGATTGCTCGGACGCAAGTCAGAAGCCATGGGAGGCGCCAATGCAGCGCTCGCGTACTGGAGACAACTGCTGAGAGCTTGTGCTTTCCACTCTTGCCCGTGTTCTGTGCCGTTTCTCCACCCGCATTGTTTATTCACGGTTCCATGGTTATTCTATCTGTCCGCGGCGTTACGCTCACACCGCCTCTTCCCTAAAATAACACCAACATAAGCACGATTATTAATTATCATAAAAATAAAACATCATCTCTTCACGTAGTGTTCATATAGTTCCAAATCAAGCGCTGCATTAGCTGGGCCGACACTGGCATATTTCACCATCTATTTAAGAAGAGAACGGTTGCCGTATTTAATTGTGACGTAGCCGGGAGTGGGAGAAATGAAAACTTTCTTTATTTGCCGATGCAAAGCTCTACGATTTGAGCGTTCCTTTTTTATAAATAAATGGCGAAGGATAGAGATGTTGACACAGCTTATGCGTCGCAGACTACTACGTGAGAATTAATTCGATATAGGCGTGACAATCCCGGAACTGCTCAAGGTGCATTCTGTACTCTGGTTATAGTTTCCCCCAGGATATTCTTTTTGATATCTTTCTACGGAAATGAGTTATTTCAGTTTTGACGCTCAACTCATAACGTGGGAGGCTTTACTGAAATAATAATAATAATAATAATAAAATGTCTGCTAATGCACGTATAAATGGTATTCAGACATACTTAAAGTTGAGTGGATTTTTTCAGTTGAGTGAACCCTCAGTTCACAAAATCGTCGATGAGATTTTTTCCCCATTTGCTAGAGGTTGTGGGCGGTTCTTTAACGCCCCTTCCTCGGGTGGACAGATACACGCTCTGGGTTAACTGTTTATTAACCCAACGTAATGCTTACGAGGCAAGCCTCACGTCAATGTCCGGGCAGTCCGCGGGCAGCGCGCAAACGTAGTCACGGGTCGGCTTCCCGATGGTCTGGAGGCGTGGAAACGTCGTCCATGGGAAGCCGTGGTTCCGGGCAAGTGACCTCGTTGGTTTCGACGCGGCACAGCCGCATCCAGGGGCTCCAGGAAGGTCACCGGCTTGCGGCGGCAATCCAAGCCCCGCGGTCCTGAAGCCGGGCAGTCGTCTTCCATGGAGGGCCGCGGCTCCAGGCAGGTCACCGGCTAGCGGCGGCAATCAGAGCCCCGCGCTCAAGAAGCCAGGCAGCCGCTGTCGTTCGTCTCGCGCCGACGAGAGCCGTAACAGTCGTCTCTCCGTCCCTTTTCTAGCCTCATCATCCTCAGGCAGCGCCGCTGTGGGCACGAGATTGTCCACTTCGGCGACGCCCCTTCGATGCTATCGCCGCATGGCGTCAGCAGCGCACGATGTGGTGGGAAGGAACATGATGGGTTCCCACAAGGTTGGTGAGCTTTCCTCCGTTGTGCTTTCCTCCGTTGGGCTTTTCTCCGGTGAGTTTTTCTCCTCCACCTTGTTATGTCAAACAGGGAGGCTTGCAGTGGGAACTTTGGAAAGCTGAGTTCATTGTACGAGATATTCATATTTTCTACGCGGGCGCCATCATCTTAAAACGCAAAACCTCTGCATCCGAAAAATAAAATGTGTTAACACTTACACAACATGTAAGGTGAAATACATGAATAGCTCAGGTATGACGTCGGAGCCGCTAAGGTGTCATTTAGAAGCAGATGGACTGAATGAACGGTAAAGGTGCGAGCACGCGCCATATAGTCCACATATGCGTTTCGTATGTCAACCCGAGTAACACACCGGAAGAAAGTTTCATAGCGTTTTAGAACCAATGAGGGTACATGTATTAAGTAAAGAACATTTCAGCTGTCTGCGTGAAAGAGGAATGTGCTTCCGTGTACTTCTCTTCGGTATAAAGTCACACGTGCTAAACGAAAAGCGCCGATTAAACGGGGACAAGGAAGTGGACAAGACGAAGTGCACTCTCAATTGAAGGTTTGTTGAAACGAACCCACACTATTAATACCATCTTTCTGGCTATTTGTTTAGAATGAAGGACTTTGTATTTGTCAGGTGCATTGACGGGCCACCAACGCACTTGCTTCCCTCTTGCTTTCTGATGCAGAAATACTGGTAAAATTCTGAGGCAGTTTTACCTGCGTGCCTCTTGAGCATTGCTGTTTGTGCTAATTCTGGGTCACATGGGCACCTATCCGTGTGCCCTGCCAGATTGCCCGGCGGCGTATTTGTAAACGGCGGGCGATACGCACCACGTCAACGCCGCTCGCGTCGGATTGGTTGCTCTTCGAAGAAAAAAGTTACCTTAACGCCACTTTCCATTTCAATCCGTGAACTATCCCTTAATTACTTTCAGATTTGTCGTACACGATATGAGAAGTCCTCATTAATACATACTTTAGATCCCTTAAGCTTTTTTGCGTTAGCCAGAACTTTAATTTTCTCATTATAATTATGAAAATTTTCTATTGCAGGTCTCGGTTTAGTTCCCAGACTTCGGTCCAATCTATGTATAATTTCAATGCTAACAACGTCTACCTGAAAAACAGTAGAAAATATGTCAGTGCCAACTTTGACTTTCAGCTGGGCTTGAGTTTCGTTGATGTCATCTGTAATACCTTGTAGGATCAGATCGTTTCGTCTGCTTCTCTTCTCCAGATCATCAATCTTTTGCTCGAGATTCACTATTGTTTTAGCAACATTTACCAATCCCGCCTCGCAACCTTCAACTCTCTTGGTAGTAGATATTAATTCTTTAATGGAAGTTTCAATGGCAGTAAGACGATTATTAACGCTGGTGCACCAAGCTCTTGTCGACTGGCTACTCGTTTTGATGTCAGCAGTGTGATTGGCTACTTCTTGTTGATTTGCCAGCAATTGCTTCATTAGCTCTTCGAGAGGCCCATGATTCGATTCCACATCTCCCGCCAACATAAAAAGCAAAGTATGAACACTACTGTACCAGTCGGCAATAGCGGAACACAGAACACATACCACATAGTTCTGAAACTTTGGCATCTCGTTCGAACCGCTATCGCTATATTTGAATGAAGAATGAGCGTTTAGCGGTTTTTTTTTTTTTTTTTTTTTTTTGCGGTTAACCAAATATACTATAAAAAATTGGGGGGGGGGGGGGGGCATTTTTTAGATACGGCGCCAAAGAACCTTTACAACAAAGTATGTTTCTAAAACTACCATCCCACTTTTTCTCTGTCCTTCCTCTGTTTATTGGACAATCATTTTTTGCTGTCATTGCACCCAAAGACTGGGAAGTTTAAGCAAAATACGGAAGTGGTCGAAGCTACTGGCAAGAACCTGAGAACGAGCCTCCCGAGTCCTCTGAGACTGAGACTCGGAGGACCTGCCGACATCTCGCTATTGGGCTTAGCTTCGCAGATTTTCAAACTCAAAGCTAAACTCTTTATTTTTCTTTATTTGGAGAGGGGAAACAGAGGAAAAAGCAACTCAATTGTTGCTTGACGAGCCTCTGCCTCCCCACAACAGCAAAAAGAGGACAGCATGTAAATATGCATGATGTTTTTCACAAGTATGTTTGTGAGAAACACAAAGAAAAACATTTATAACACAAATAAACAACATTAGGTGGGGGAGGGGGAGGAGGGGGAGGAGAGTAATTAATTTACCCAAGTTTACAAATTCCAAGGGCACTCTCACAAACATAAAACGTATATTTTTTAGGGCTTCACTCAAAACTTCTACATTCAATTCAGACAGGTGATTTAAAAAAACCAGGTACTGTATATTTCAACATCTGATTACCGTAGTTTGTTCTGGGGTGCGGTACTAACCCCCTGTCAACAGACCGACTTTCATTGGCAACCTCTCTCATCCTAAGGTTGGAAATGGACATGAATACATTTTCTTTTTGGCAAAAAGATATTTTTAATGCAAGAAAAAGTTTAGAATAATAAATCTGTACACTATTCAATCTAAAAATAATGGACTAGTGTGACTATTATACGCAGTATTACATATAATTCAAACAGCTTTTCTTTTTTTTTTTTAGAGTATGTATCCGTTTTATGTTATAACCGCTACGAACCTAAAACCTCTTAGCCTCTTAGCCGGCTGTGCCTCTGAGGCAACCGGATCTTTCTTTTCATGTGCCCCTGGCCCCGCCTTCTTGTACAGACTTGTAGTTTTACGTAACGTCCGGACAAGTTAATAAGTCTCATTTAGTAATTTCAATATTTCTATACTCGATGAAAGCATTATGTAGCAATTCAGAAGTAAAAGAAGCATACTTAGGTGTTTCAGTGCTACGTGCTATCGCGAACAGTCCCCGGAGCGCGCGCCATTCGATTTCATTAGCTTTTCTCTCCACAAAATGGCAGTCGTAGAAGAAAAAAAAAGGGGGGAAAAGATAAGCAGCGTATAAACTACCAATGTACATCATAGTTTCCCGCTCGGAATGGGAAAGCGTAGGGCACGGGCTGAGCTTCACAAATAGCTATTAATGGTCGCCTATTTCCATCTTTGATTGAACGCAACCCACTCGAATGTCTGCCGATGCTATGATAGTCATGAGCCCCTTTCGAGTGCTCGGGCGCACGATAATCGAGTATGCAATGGTTTCTCTTAACTCACGCTGCGATGTGGTGGTGGTACAAGAGGCCCCGGTATGAACCAGTGTTGCGGAATGGGCACCCCCATTTCATTCCAATTCCATTCCGGGGAATTAGAGTTTTCGATAATTCCATTCTTTTCAACTCCTAGGTGTGGGGACACTGGGCCCATTCCCACTTCTGGAATGGCTGAATCGTTCCATTCCATTCCTCTAATTCCTAAATGTTAAAAGTGTCACTTGACAGCTGCATTACGTTGCAGAGTTCGGCAGAAATATTCAAAAATGTATTTGGAAGTACAAATACTGGTATAGATGAAAATAGTTGCTAAGATACCGATAATCAAGTCTCAAATACATCTGTAACCTCAAATATATCTGGTGTCTGATTCTCGACTTTGTGTTCCTGTTTTTGAGCGCTAAAATGTATTCGAAGTTCCAAAACCAGCTAAGCCCAACAATCTACTCTACTGTAAAAATGTATCGCGATACGCATCGGAAATACATTTTTAAAAGAGGCAAAAAGTCTTCGGAAATACAAATACAAGAATACATTTTAGAGAGGGCAGAAATATAAATACTGATAATGCAATACATTTTTCAAATTTCTTTGAGACGTCAACTGAGATGAGGCTTTAGGTTTGAAGTGGAAGTTTTTTTGTATTTTTTTTTGGTCCCGAAATTACTTTCCCGGAGGCTTGGCACCTGGCCTTGAAGATAGTGGTTCCGGACGAAGAGTTCTCAATGGGTTTAAAAAACGTTCCATCAAGGATTGACTGCGGTCCCTTCCCTGGCATCCTGTCTGATTGACCAGTGATGCGAAAAAACTACGACCTCTAAATAAATTCCATCAAAACATCACCTGTCTAATAAGGGCGCTACTGCCAGCACTGATCATATGACGTCACGGTGGGATGAACTACAGTATTCTTGAATCTGTAGGTGTTGCCTTGAACACGAAACTTTACCCACGCTGCTGTATGAAAGGACAATACGTACTTTCGTTGTAGGTGACCTCGTTGAAGACCATGCAGGCAGTTGCATTTGGAACTTTCGAGAAATGTGGATCACCTGAAGCATCCTGAAGCATATGTCTTATCTTCTGTTACGGTTGAAAAATCGATACGGTGGCATCCCTGTTGTGACGGCACTCCCTGCCGACTCTCCGACTCCAACGCATGAAAGGCAGTCGTCAAGTTTCGCCTAGAATCATTCAAACAGAGACCTCGTGGATTGCGACCTGAGATGGCCGGCACAGGTGCGAGCTCTCCCAGAAACAGTACGCTCGAGACGAGTCGCAGGTGTACGAAGTCTGGGTCCGCACAGCGAGGCCACGTCTGGCCTCCTTCGTGGGTATCGGATCACCAGAGTAGCGGGTCACGTTCACGTCGGCTGATGACGTACCCTTGAGCCGTGCAATATTACAGGCGCAGACGCATTCGGATATGTGTTGAACTTCACTGGTGAAAGGCGCCCCCGCCGCCCCCCTCCCCCCCCCCCCCCCCCCCTTTCCCCTCTGTTCATTGCTTTGACGCTTGTTGTTTGTATTACATTTTTTTTTTTTTTTGGCGTATAAGTCTGTTAGGGCCTTACTCGGGTTAGCAGTTTCCCGCTCATTTTATTTTTGAGCAACCCACTTCCTGAGTGGCTCCGTATAGCTGAACGTAAAAAAAAAAAATAATAATAATAAATAAATAAAATAAAAAATACATAAAGAACCTGGTCCATTCCATTCCCATTCCATTCCGGGCCAAAGGCATCTAATTCCATTCTCATTACATTCCCCTGAATGTTGCCGCCATTCCATTCCCATTCCATTCCGGGGTCGCGAAAATGCCGAATGATTCCGGAATCATTCCAACTCCGGAGTGGCAACTCCGCAACACTGGTATGAACCCCACTATTGGATCTGGTTGGGTGTAAAGTCGTGGTGTAAGGTGATGTCATGGCGTAATGCTATGCGACAACTTGACGCCGTGACGTCACGTAACCACAACGCGTAACACCACGTGAAACGTGACGTCACATAATTAACCGGAATGCTAATACAAACCCCTCATGAAATCCCACCATTTCTCGTTCATTGCTATATGACAACTTTCCTATAGATACAAAAATACCGTTGTTAATTTTTTAATCTTGCCAAATATTTAACCCGTGGAATTACAAAAAAAAAGGCTGAATCGGTTTGTTAAGTAACGAAGAATTTTGTTTGTAATAAGTAAGATTTGTTTTAGAAAAGCTTATATTTCTATAGTTGCGTCGGCATTGTTTTTTCGACTGCTTAAGTTAGTGTCGGCATTTTTGGGCGTTCGCTCGCAGACCCGCGGCAGGGGGTGCGCTCGCGGGAAAGCATGAACGGGCAGTCGACTTCCGCCCCCACGTGCTGTGGGCTTCGAGCAGCCGCGGGGCTCGGCGGAGAGGAGTCGGACCCCGGTCGTTAACAAACGGATTGGGTTTCAGTTTGGGGCGCCGGAACACCCGTTTCTTGGGCAGAGGTACTTCTGTCCGCACTTGTGGCTTTTAAGCGGGTGTGCTTGTGTCCGGTGTATTTCGCCGTTTAGTGTAGAAACTTCGCTTTTAATCGCCGCAATAACTTAACTGGGTGGCGCCAGCCAGGCGGCGAGGAAAGCATGTAGTGACTCTACAAGGAATTTGGTTTCGACCGTTGAGGTGCCGGAGGGAGATCACGTTGACAGCTCGCTGATCATTGGGTAAGAGTGTACCACGTGGCAATAGGCCAATTTGAAGTGATTGGTCCGTCTCTGGAGGGAAAGGAAACCCCTACGAGTCTAGAAAAGGGGTGCCGAGAGGATTCTCGGGAGATTCGGTTCTTGAGACCGGGGACTAAAGTATGGGTTTTCATTTTGGGAGTTTTGTATTGTAAATTACAGTTGACTTGTCGTTTTGTTTTCAAACAAACGTGGCCACACTGGCCATCGTAAACCAACCAACGTCGTAATGTGTCCAGCGAGATCGAACAACTTTTAGTTTTTTTGTTTTTTTTCTTATTCAACTTAACCGGGGAACTTCCATCGGGTGAACATCGTCATTTGCCGGTGGTGTGACACATGACATATGAAACTTAACATTAACAAATGCAAATCTATGAGAGTACCACATCAAATGAACACATGCCATTCTTACAATACTAGCGGCGTTGTCCTTGATTCTGTATTACCATATAAATATCTCGGTGTGCGTATAAAAAATAACCTTTCCTGTGATATTCACATTCAATACGTAATCAATAATGCAAACCGCCATGTAAGCCTATCTTAAAAGACACTTCTCTCCTGCTTCCACCTCTTTAAAACTACTTCTTTATAAGTCTTTGGTCCGAAGTAAACTTGAATACGGCGCAGCTATATCGGAACCTGGCATATCACTTGCATCATCACTTGAAACCATTCAAAACCGTTCTGCTCGATTT